AACCAGAATATTATTATTCTGGTTATGTCACAAACCCAGCCATACAGTGTTGCAATTGCCGTTTTATAGAACCATTAAGTCCTTTAAAAAACTAAGAGACTATACAGGTGACTACAGTCGATTTTCCTATTTTATGTTTGATCATGTCGTATATACATAGATGTGTGTACTTATATATTTTCTCAATTCTGACATTTTTTATTTCTTCCTGTGGTTTTGATGCTGTTCGGGGCCCACGTGTATGAACCCCCAGTTATAGGATCTCCGTGTCCTCCCCTCCTCGGTGCTCTTCTGGTCACATATCACTTACCTTTGTGTATTTTGTCTAAGAATATATACTTTTAGTAATGGCCTGTGCAGTTGTTTTTTAAATCAGGTAAGAGAAGAAATGAGGGAAAACACTTAGACCGTGTTTGCCATGACCTTTTTGGGTGTCTTCCTGTGCCCCGGTTTGAGTTGCCCGGGGAGGCAGCTGCTGTCAGCCTGCAGAGCCTCTTTAATGTCTTGTGAGTCAAGACTCTGGCAGGGAGTTCTCTCAAGCTTGATATCTGAATACCTTTATTGCTTTTATTTTTCGAAGGGTAGTCGTGTTTCATACGACACGCTTACTCGTTCTGGCTCCGTTACCTCTGGTGAAAGCCCGCAGTTATTTTTGTCTTGGACACCGGGTATTTGATGCCGTTTTCAGGATTAATTGGTTGACTCGTTTATTTTTTGGCTGCAGCAGTTCAGCTATGATGTATCTAAGTTTGGGTCCTGATGTGTTTATCCTACTTGGAATGCATTGAGCATACTTATGTACCAAATTTGGGGAGTTTTCTGCCAATATTTCTTCAATTATTTTTCCTGCTCTTTCTTTTTTTCCCTTTTATTGGGTTTCTGTTACCATAAGGTTTTAAGGTCTCCCACAGGTCTCTGTGGCTCAAAAGACCTCTGTGCCTGCCCTCTGTGCTGTTTTCTTCTTCAGATTGGATGGCCTCAGCTGATGAATCTTTACAAGCCTGCGTTGAATGTCTTTCATGTTGGTCATTGTGCTTTTCAACTACAGAATTTCTGTTTAGGTTTCTTTTTTACGTTTTCATTGTTATATCATATTATGTTTTATGTCACTGTCTTTCCTTTTTCAATCTTCTAATGGGGTTTCTTTTATTAAATTTGTGACTATATGTGTAATAGCTGCTCTGAGGTCTTTGCAAAATCTAACATCTGGTCATCTCAGAACATGTATATGGATAGAATTTTTTCTGTAAATGCAGCATACGTGCCTGTTTTTCTGCCTGTCTCATCATGTTTTTGTTTGTTTTAACTGGATTTTTAGGATACTATGTTACAGAAACGCTGGAATCTCACCTTACCCCACCCCATTAGCCGTTACTGTTTTTGTTGGCCTGATGATCTGCCTGGGTTAATTCTGTAGTCTTTTTTCCCCTCATGATAGCCACTGGTGCCTGTGTGCATGTTTGTTTCTTGTTTTAATGTTCAGCATGGTCAGTAAATGATTAGTCAGTGGTTGTGCTGAAAAAGCCTTGAGCTGGCGCTCCCTGGTGGCGCAGCGGTTAAAGTGCAGCACTAAGAAGCTAAAGGCACTTCAGCATGAGTTCGATCCCCGCCTGCCCGGGAGCTGACCCACAGGGCGCGGCAGACCTCTCCTGACCCGCCCGCTGCTCCCCTCAGCAGTGGACTTTGTCAGTCAGCCTGTTCTGCTCCCCACTCTGTCTCTGGTGAAGCCTCTCGCCGCCCCTGCACCTCTGGCTTACACCCCAGTTCTGTATGCACAAATAAATAAATCTTTAAAAAAAAAAAAACAAGTCTTGAGCTGTTGACCACCCACTGTTTACTGTGGCAATACTTGTTCAGGCAGGCTACCAGCTTCATTTTCAGCCAGGGACAAGTAACTTACTAGGGACTGTTCTGGCTCCTACTGTTCTTACTGGGGTTCAGTAGATTTTCTTGAGTCAATGCTTTTCAATTTGTTATTCACCTTTGATCAGGTCCACAACACTTCAGTGGTTGATTTTGACTGGTTTGTCTGGTGTTATCATGTTTTTTTAATAGAAAGGATTTACTAAGCTCTTCATTCAGCCATCTGAAGCCCCACTGATTTCTAATAGATATTGATCACATCCCTATATTCCACCTATATCCGTTCGTTTTGTTTTTTTTTTTTAAGATTTATTTATTTGTGCATACAGAACTGGGGTACAGGCCAGAGGCTCAGGGGCGGCGAGAGGCTTCACCAGAGACAGAGTGGGGAGCAGAACAGGCAGATCGACGAGGTACACTGCTGAGGGGAGCAGCGGGCGGGTCAGGAGAGGTCTGCCGCGCCATATGGTCACCTCCAGGGCAGGTGGGGATTGAACTCATGTGGAAGTGGCCTTAGCTTCTCAGTACAGTGCTTTAACCCGCTGCGCCACCAGGGAGGGCCCTATATCCGTTTGTTTGAACTAAAGTATAGAATTGGTTTTCTTCTTTCCCAATCAGCCATTAAAAGAAATACAAGGAACTTGAGAGTCTAGTAAGATTCCTAAATTAAAGTTATGCTTGAAATATGTATTATCAAGTCAGAAAAAATCTAGTCCAACAATAAAATATTGTGAGTCAGTGTTAAAGATTTCACTATGTGATATTTTCCATTAGTACAGTATGTTTGGGTTTGTTTATATTATAGATTTTTTTTTTTTTTTGCTGTGCAGGAAACCGTCTTAATTTGAATTAATTTAACTAATCCAAGTAAAATATATTTTAAATTATAATAGAATTATGTAATGATATAAAAACTTCTTTTGATATATAAATTATTTGAAATTTTAAAGTTTTAATGTATTCTCTATGGAGACAGGTCTTTCACCAAGAATATTCAAGGCAAAATGAAGAATGATATTTGAGCTTTATCCCCTGTAATGACTTTGAGGAAGACTTAAAAACCTGAATAACCTCTGAATTTAATTTTAGTGAATTAAAATATTTATAAGTTAATTTTGCCATCTCTGAATCATTATTATCTTTGAGGCCTTCACATCTAAAAGCAATCTACCTGAGAGATGAACGTATCACAGATCTTTTTGTCTTTATTTTATTCTCCAACTCATTTGATTTATGAGTGAATCCCAAAGTTATTTTTTAAATTGTGACTGGGACTTTTCGCTCTTTGATTCTTACAGTGATAAAATTTACTGTAGATTAATTTCTAGCAAAATAATCAAATTATTTTTGTGATTTGACAGGAATATTTGAGTTAACTGATCATAAAAAGCTTCCTGCAGGAACCATCCATGTTATATTGAAATGGAAATTTGCTTACCTTCCACCAAGCGACTCCATAACAACTGAAGATTTAGGAAATGTCATTCGGGAGGAAGAATCAGAAGTTCAAAGACTACCTCCAGCTTCCTCTGTTAGCACGTCAGCTGTGGTGAGTCGCAGTTAGTTTGCTTTCCTATAAAACTTAAGAAGTAGCTGGGAAAAAAGAGGGAAAAGACACTGAAGCCTTCACTAAGCATATGTTCCTCATAGTCATTCTGGCATGTTGGTTTACCTTAGGCCCCAACACCTAAACCAAGGCAGCGTCTAAAACCTGTAGAGTATGCACAAATAAATAAATCTTTAAAAAAAAAAAAAACAAGTCTTGAGCTGTTGACCACCCACTGTTTACTGTGGCAATACTTGTTCAGGCAGGCTACCAGCTTCATTTTCAGCCAGGGACAAGTAACTTACTAGGGACTGTTCTGGCTCCTACTGTTCTTACTGGGGTTCAGTAGATTTTCTTGAGTCAATGCTTTTCAATTTGTTATTCACCTTTGATCAGGTCCACAACACTTCAGTGGTTGATTTTGACTGGTTTGTCTGGTGTTATCATGTTTTTTTAATAGAAAGGATTTACTAAGCTCTTCATTCAGCCATCTGAAGCCCCACTGATTTCTAATAGATAT